AAGTTGCTGCAAAAGACATTATTTCACTCCTTTTTATGGCTGAGTAGTACTCCATGATATTGGATTGATGGGCACTTAGGTTGATTCTGCATCTTCACAATTATGAATTGTGCTGTTAAAACCTTTGAGTTCAAGTATCTTTTTGATAAAATGACTTCTTTTCCTTTGGGTAGATACCCAGTAGTGGGATTCCTGGGTCGAATGGTAAGTCTGTGGTTTTGATTTGCATTTCCCTGATGATTAGTGATGTTGAGCATTTTTTCATGTTTTTTGGTCATTTGTCTTCCTTTGAAGAACTTCTGTTCATGTCACAACAAACAACTCCCTTAAAAGTGGGCAAAAGCATAAACAGAAGCTTTACACTGTCTTTTTAAATCTTCGGAGCAACTTTGATAGTTAGAGAAATTATTCTCATTTACAGCGGAGGGAACTAAGGCTCCAGACACTAGATATTTTCTCTAACCTCAGAGTTGGCTAAATCACCAACTTTCCACAGGCAGTTTGCTATGTTTATAAGACAGTGAGGAATGTGACCAGGGGATAGAAATAAAATAAGTGAGAGGGTTAGAAATAGGTGGGGTTAGATTAGGAATGGCCTTCTAACAATATAGCTTTTAAAGAATTTGGGCTTTCAGAGTCCATTGGGAAGAAGTGAGCAATGAGGAGACCATTAAATATTTTTGAATCCCAGCACTTTGAGGGGCTAAGGTGGGAGGATTACTTGAGACCAGGAGTTCAAGATCAGCCTGGACAAAGCAAGACCCTGTTTCTACAAAAAAAAAAAAAAAAAAGAAAAATTAGTCAAGCATGGTAAGTCCTAGCTACTTGGGAGGCTAAGATGGGAGGATCATTTGATCCCTGGAATTGGAGGCTGCAGTGAACTATTAATGTGATTGTGCCAATACACTCCAGCCTGGGGGTAACAGTGAGACCCTGTTTCTAAATAAAATTATAAAATATTTTATTATAAAATAAAATAAATAAAAATAAAAGACATTTAAAAAAAGAAAATAAATTGAGCAAGCTGAAGTAGTCTGATTATGATTCCATAGTAGTGGTAATAGAGTGAATCAGGAAGTGTAGATTTGAGAGATAGTATAAAGTCCAAATTATTAGGGCTTGGTGATAAATTGAATATAGTTGGCTAATGAATGGGAGAAATCACAGCCAGTCCTAAACATTTTGACATGGGTTATAGAGAACTTGTATATTTAACAAAAAAATCAAGAACTCTGGAGAGGTAACTGGTTTTCATGGAAACATGTTGTTAAGTTTGAGACACACTGAGTTTGTGATTATGTTAAAATATCCAAATGGAAAGAAAAAGTAATCAAGTGACATGACAAAAGTGGAGCCCAAGAGAAAGTCAGGGTTGCACACAGTGGTTTTATTTAAAGATAGGATATTGAATATGGAGGGTTACTTTGAGCAAAGCTCATTGTGTTGGGGCAAAGGAAGATGTTAGCTCCTCTTCATCTCCATTGTCGCAGCCCTTGTTTAGGCCCTCATCATCTCTTGCCTGGGCCATTACAGTCTTTTCTTTCAAGTGTCAGTCACATCTCCTACATGATAGAGCCATGGCTCATTAGCACGGCACGTGAGGCTCTCTGTGATCTGGTGCCTTGCCTGGCTCCAGAGCGTCATTGGCTCTCCAGAAACTCTAATAGTAGTAGCAGTCAAATTAATCATTAACGCACCTTTTGTATGCCAACCTCTGTATACATTATCTTAGTGCTTACATCACCCTTGCCAGTTATATATTGTTGTTTTTGTTTTACTGATGAGGAAACTAGGTTTATACAGGTTAAACAGCCACTAGTAAGCAGTAAGGCTGAAATTTAACCCTGATGTCTCTAGCTATGAAGCCTCAGCTCTTAACCTCTTCCTGTGCTGACTCCTAGTTACTCAAGCACATCATCAAATTTCTGCCTCTTGTGCCTACTTTAATTGTGCTTTCTCTTGTGTCTGGATGGGTTTCCATCCTACCCTATCCCCTTAACCATCTAACCCTGCTGAGTCTTTAAGCCTCAGTTTAAGAGTATTCAAAGGAAATATTTCCTGTCCTTTCCTTTCTCGCCAGCTAGATTCAGAGCTGATTCTCTGGGCTCCTGTAATCCTCTGCACATTACTATACTCGTTATTATAATTAACCAGGTTCTTGTATCTCAGTCTTTCTAGTGGATTAGGGATTGGCAAACTTTTTCTGTAAAGAGCCAGACAGTAAATATTTTAGACTTTGTGGGGTCAGGCGGTCTCTGTTGCTGCTACCCAGCTCTGCTGTCACGTTAAAGCAGGCATGGTAATACTTAGACAAATGAATGTAGCTAAATTCCAATAAAACTTTGTATGTGGACACTGAAATTTGGCTTTCATATAATTTTCACATGCCACAAGTATTCTTCTTTTAACTTATTTTTCCAATTATTAAAAAAAAGTGAAAAACATTATTGGCTTGTGAGCCTTACAAAAACAGGTACAGGCTGGATTTGGCCATGAGTTGTAGTTTGCCAGCCCATACCTAGAACATGAATTTCTTAAAAGCAGGTACTAAATCTAAGTGACTTTTGTATCCCCTTGTATGGCCCGTAGAAGGTACTAAGGAAATTGTATTGTCTGAATAGTGACCCTAAACAGGAATATTGGGAGAATGTAGTATTAGAACCCCTATTAGGTTGCATATCCAAGTCAAGGGAGGACTGTAATTTTAAAAGGAGGGGGATATTCTAGGGATTTATCCTACAGGAATAATTGCATACATATGCAGATTCATGTTTAGGGATGTTTATAATATAAAATAATGAAAAACAACCTATATGTTCATCTGTATGAGATTAGTTTTATGGTACATTCATCAAATAGAATACTCCACAATTGATAAAAACAGCAGCTGTCACAGCTGCTTGCAACAGAAACCAATTCAGAAAAGCCACCTGCAGAATGAGCACTGCCATCTCCTAACGTGGGGTCTTCTCATGCAGCCATGCCTCTGGTAGAACAAGCAAGGCAATGGATATTCTGACGTTTGGTTTCTTATCCTGACTATAGCCAAATTCTTGACCTGCAGTAGTACCCAAGAAGCTCTGAAAACTCAGCCTGGGCATATACCTCCTTTTACAATGCATGTAAAGTACATTGTAAGTTAGCCGTCAGGAGAAGAATGACTATTATTCTTATATATAATGTATGCTCTCTTAATGTTTTGGGGGCAACAGTGGTTATCATTAAATGGTGTGTGGTTTTATTTTAAAGGTCTGAGGATCAGAGATACCTGACCATTGGCAAAATGAGCTGTAACTGGCAGTCATTAAGAGCCAGGTGTGAGGGACCAGGGCTGTGAGATACTTAGTATAAGTGACAGGGAATTCTTACTACACAGAATGTTGTGAGTGAAGTGGCTCCAGTCACCTGAAAGAAATGAGAAAAGCAAAAAAGCAAAAACTATTGGAAGATGTCATTGTGCTTAGGAATAGTAAGACATTGTTTATAAAAAAAATTAAAAGTAGGCCGGGCGCAGTGGCTCACGCCTGTAATCCTAGCTCTTGGGAGGCCGAGGCGGGCGGATTGCTCAAGGTCAGGAGTTCAAAACCAGCCTGAGCAAGAGCGAGACCCCGTCTCTACTATAAATAGAAAGAAATTAATTGGCCAACTGATATATATATATATATAAAAAATTAGCCGGGCATGGTGGCGCATGCCTGTAGTCCCAGCTACTCGGGAGGCTGAGGCAGAAGGATCGCTCGAGCCCAGGAGTTTGAGGTTGCTGTGAGCTAGGCTGACGCCACGGCACTCACTCTAGCCTGGGCAACAAAGCGAGACTCTGTCTCAAAAAAAAAAAAAAAAAAAAAAAATTAAAAGTAAAGACAGTCTTGTAACATAGGGTAAGAGGAAAGGAAATATGTTTTTGTTTGTGTGTTTTGGGTTTTTTTTTTTTTTTTTTTAGAAAATTAAGGGGAATACAACTTTCCACATGTTTTAACCTACAGGGATAAATTCTAAATTTCTCAAATAGTTCAGGATAAAATTTTCTTTCATTTTTAACATGTACTTATTAGTAGATAGTCCTAGATCATTTGAAAAAGTACAATAAAATAAAGTGTTATTTGTCTTTTTAACATTAGTATTTATTTTTTCTAACATTTATAGAACACCTACTGAGTATGACACATTATACAAAGAGCTACTCATATAAACAAGAGTATGAAATTATCCCTGTCACTTGAGTATACTCAGACTGAAATCCGTTAATTATGTTTTTCTTGAAAATTGGTTTCATGGTTTTGTAAGTTTGGGAAACACTGACTAAGCAAAGTTAATTAGATTCCTTTGCTTCGGGATTTCTCAGACCCTTTATTGTACTAATATGATTTGATCATTGAGTCATTCTTTCTGGAAGCAACTCCAGGCACTGTTAAGAAACATAGTTGGGGAATACTGACTTAGACTTTCTACCGAATTACTGTTTCATCTGCTGATTTACTTCAAGCTCATTTATTCAAAAATATTCTCAAATAATAAACCAATCAGCACACTTTTTTTTTTTTTTTTGAGGAAAAGGAAAGAGAAGTTTATTAATTTGCCAGGGAATGAGTAGGTTGGCAGACTCTCAACTTAAAGTACCAACATCCTCCATTTTTTGTGCACTCCTTTGTACCAAAAAGTGACTAGTAAGAGACATTGATAACAAATTTAAGAATTTAAGTTTTTCAAGGATTTGGAAAATGAGTTTTGATAATACCCTGGACCTTGTCTTTTAATAGGTAAACAACTAAAACTATACTTCATTATTTGGGTGAGGGGTGGGGGACCCGCAGCCTTGGGGGTGTGCCCTCTGGATCCTTGAGTGTGGCTTTTGACTGGTTCCAAATTTTACAGAACAAATCCTTTTAATAAAGATATCAAAATTAAAACAGTTTACTGTGAAAAACTTTCAATGCTGAAGCAGAAGAGAATCAGTTCATATTGTATTAACTATTTCCTGTCTTTTTTCGTTCTCTTTACAGTTTTTTGAAGTGCCATTTGACTCAAACATGAATAGGACAAAGAACAGACCTCTGGTTCGTGGACAGATCAGGTAAAATCATGAGTATAATTCTCTTCCCATTATAGAACATATGTTTGTTCATCTTGAATCATTTCCCAACCTTTTGCCTTGAACTGTGAAGTAAAAATGACACACCCGCAAAGGGACAGATTGGTATGGTTACACAATACTTTCCACCTCTGAGCAAAATGTATACAAAGTACTTAAGACGGATTAAGATTTGCTCAGGTACTTTATGGAAGTAATTTATGTGATTTTTTTAGTTAAATTCAAATTTGTGACATAGACTTAGTTTCAAACAAATCCGTATAGGGTCTCAGAAGAAGGGTATGTCTGAGACCTTACTTTTTCAGATAAACTGATAATGCTGTTACAGGCCAGGTGAAGTACTGCCTCCATTACTATCCTTGCCACCAAATTCAATTAAGTAGAACTAAAAGTCATATAAATATTTTACTATCTCTAATGGTTAATAATTAAACATTTTACTTCCTGGAGGCCTCTAAACTGGCATTTTAAAATATTTTCTTGGATCTGATATATCACACCTAGAAGAATAAAAAAGGCTGAATGGTTTTACTGTCTTTTCTCAGTCAGTGCATCCTCTACCTTCATGTTTCCAGGCAATGCCCTCGTGGAGCATAAAATTTGGGGGGCCAACACTGGTGTATCACATACTAAGTAAAACAATAAAGGAAGCAAATGTAGATGTAGTCAGATAAGTCTACATAAAAATGATTTTTAATATTGGCTGCTTTTAGCCATTCCATTCTTAATGAGTTTAAAATACCATTATATTAAAAATAGCAATAGAACCAGATGAAACTATATAAGAAAAAAAACCTCATACCTACTGATGTTTTATTTTATTTTGTGAAATATATGCAAAGTTATGTGTTATGTTTTAGATTTAGAAACTGTCAATAGTCCTTTTATTTGAGTAAAGTTGTTTTAGAGGGGAGAATGCAAACTCTGCAAAACCATCTCAAAAGCTAAAAGTTGCTCTTGCCACTGGTCAGATCACAAGTAAGTTCTTAATGATTTGGAATTTCTTTCCGGTTGTTTTTTCCCAGTGAAATGGTGCCCTCTTTTAGAAGCAGGGGAAGTGTGGGAACAGGCCCAGCAAGTATATAATGGTAATCAGATAAAAGTCCATCATTCTACTAGTAGCCCACCTCACTTTGTCCAGTGTGGTTAAAGCAGAGTCTATTGGTACATGCAGGAGGGAGCATCATGGCCTTAATGGTTGTAATTAACAGTGCCCTCCTTTTTAAAAGGAGCTTTGGATCATAATCCTGAAAGACACAATCCCGAACTCCATAATCTTGAATGTTGAGATCCCAAAAGGTCAAAATCCCTAATGTCTAAATCCCTAAAATCTAAAATCCCAAAGGTCATAATCACAGTGCAATTACACCATGTTAGGCGGAACTATTACCTTATTATTGTTTTTATTTGGAAATTAAATATGGTTTAAGGAGATGAATATGGGTGCCAAGTTGACAAGGGGTTGACTTGTAGACTTAATTGTAGGTATCAACTTGCCTGGATTGAGAAGTACCTAGAAACCTAGTACCTATTAATATTATTAATATTTTGGATGTGTCTGTGAGGATATTTCCAGAGGAGATTAATGTGTGAGTCTGAGTGAATTAGATGAGGAGGATCTGCCCTTACTTTTGGTGGTCACTTTCCATTTGGCTGGAGGCCCAGAGAAGACAAATGCAGAAGGGAAATTGGTCTCTCTCTGAGAGCTGGGACAGACTTTTTTTTCTGCTGCCCTGGACATCAGAAATGCAGGCTTGCTGGCCTTTGTTTGGAGTCCAAGATTTAAACTAGTAGACCCCTGGTCCTGAGTCTTTCAGTGAGCCACTCTACCCACGTCCCAGGGTCTCCAGCTTACAGACAGTCTATTGTGGGACTTCTCAGCCACCATAATTATCTGAGCCAAATTCCCTAATAAATCAACTCCCATATATCTATATACGGACGCTATTGCCTCTAGTTCTCTGTAGAACCCTGACTGATACAGATTTTTGTATTGGAGATGCCAAATTTCATTCCCTTTTACCGTATTTCTTTTAACACAGTGGAAGAGATCTGTGAAATTGTTCCCTCTCAAAAAGGCTGTGATAAGTTAAGTGTACAAGGCTAATTAATGGTGGAAGATGAAAATTTAAAAGCTAATTGTTATTGGTGCTTCAAAAGCAGAAAATTGCTTAATTGTGACAGGCAAGCAATGACCAGACTTTCAAATGGGCAGAATATATTTAGAAATTTTATAAGTCATAATGACTCTCCAACTACAAGAGCAGCAGGTGTTCCAAAGATCATAGAAGAAGTCAAAATGCAGGCAAAAAAATACAGGAAATCTTCCCTGACAAATTATTCAATGTTGTACTTCTGCCCCTTCACATATGCTTGCCTTCAAAAAACACCCTTTGTCAGAGAATAAAAAGAACTCAAGAACCTCAGCAACCTCTTGAATCAAAGATACTTGCTGATATTGAGGTTACTGAACTATTCTTGATTAAGGATTTGACTGTTGAAGAAGACAGACTTCTTATATTTACCATTAAATCTAACATAGAAAAACCAACACATGCTTCACTTTAGCTAATCCATGGCGCTTTCAAAACTGTACCCACTATTTTTTATCAACTATGTACAATTCATGTTCCTATTGGATCCAAAAATTCTAGAACTTACCTGCTCATTTATATATTAATGACTGGAAAAAGTAAAGCACTTTGTAAATGTGTATTTGAAGATTTGTTGGACTTTGTAGAAGAAAATAGATTTAAATTGAATCCCCAAACCATAGTGACAGATTTGGAATTAGGTGTGATCAAGGCTTCTAAAAGTGAATTTCAAGGGGTTACCAATAAAGTTCGTTTTGACCATTCAGCCCAGTGCATTTGGCAGAAAATTCAGATAGAGTGGCCATGTAATATGGCAACAACGAAAACTTCAATTTAAAGATGCATCCTTTGCCTGTATTGGCATTCCTTCCAGCTAATGGCATCTCAGGAATGTTTAATGAATTAAAACCGTATTTGACTGAAGAAGCCAATGAAGTTACTAACTGGTTGGGAAATAATCATGTTCATGGTAAGATAAGAAGACACTTAAGCAATGTTGTTGCTGTTCTATCACCAGTATTGTTTACATCAAATCTGTGGTCTGAATATGACTGCACACAGAATGGATTTCTGCATACTCAGAATAATGTGGAAGCATGGCACAGAAGATAGAAGAATTTAATAGGGAATGCTTATATCAGTGTGTGTCAAATGACAGAATAATTTCAAAAGAGCAGTGCCATGTAGAAAATGAATGTGAATGTATTCTACGAGGAGAGCCATGCCCTAAAAGAAAGAAAAAATAGCTATTAATTGTGATGAGGAACTTCAAAATATAGTTAATGACTATGAAAGTTGGCCAACTCTCATGGCTACCTCCATGCAATTGCCCATAATCTATCCCTGTAATATACTTTTTCATATATCAGATTTCATTTTTTGTTTGTTTAGTTTTTTAAGGTTTTTTTTTCATTATTTTAAATTGTCAGCATTAGTTTTTACAACTTTCTATGCAATGTATTTCATCTTCACATCATTTCCAATACCAGAGGTCTAAATTGTGTAGAGACTTTCAGAGAGTTCTAATTTTATTTAGTGTTTACAAATTTGACTTCATGAAATCACATTATCACAATATTAACTTTGTGAGCATTATGCATACATATAAAAATATTGATACATCCTCAGTAATTGAAGAGGTGTGCTTTTTGTACATCTGCGTTTGTAAAAGATAAAATTTTGTGAGATCTCAGCAAAAGACTTCCGTTGTTTGTCACACTATTTCACATGACCACAGTTATAAAGGTGGATGCACATAATTACCAAGCATAGTGATATGCATTTATATGTTTCCCTTTTTTACCTATTTCTTCATGAATATGGTTTGTCTGCTCATAACCTTTATACCCGTGTAACTGTCATTGGTATACTTGGTGTTTATGCTTACAAAAATAGGTATGTTGTTATTGCTTATTTTATTATGTCAAGTTACACAAAAAAGTGAAGTGTTCTGTTGTGTTTTTAATGAGTTTCTCAAATAAATTCTCTTTTAAAAATGTACATAAATATCTTGTAAAGAATTTTTACAATTATGTTTTCCAGAATTCTGGGATTATGATTTTGGGGATTTCAGACTTTAGGGATTTTGATTTTTTTCTTGGGATTTCAGCATTTAGGATTATGGTGTTCACAGCTATATCTTTCAGGATTATGACTGGCTCTCTTTTAGAGGAAAAGGGTTATAGTACCATTATTAGTCTTGTTTAAAAATCTTTGTTTGCAAGAAGGCTCAGGCAGAATCTCACTTATGAGAAGAAATCTGAATTGGTATTTTAGAGGGCAAATTGTAGGCCTGAAAGACGTAGACACAGACTTATTTTTATATCCAGAATGTATTTTATTGAATAGATACAAGGAACTGTTAAGAGTCTGGGGCAGAAATTTTCTCATACTGAGAAGCCTAGTTTTAAAACTGAAGACTTCATATCTTGGCAATTAGTATCTTCATAATTTAGTACAATATTATCTACTACCCAGACATTTTATAAGTGTGTGGTCATAGGGGTATAGTAGGAAGTCTTATGGATAATCCATTAGCATTTATTTCTTAGCTTTGGCAGTTTTCATGTTCATGATGGCTGTTGGCCATTTAAGTACAAAGCTCAGCCAGCTTATTTTGAAATTTTCTTCTTCATACTTACAACCCCATTTGATCTGGAATGATATATGTCTTGTTGAATCTGTACAGCTTCATAGACTTAATTCACAATTTGGCCCGTAAAGTGTGGGTCCCTGTCATTGTCAATGGGTAGCAGCATAGAAAGTCTGGGAAAGAAACCCTTTGAAAGTCTTTTGCTGATGACAGCTGTTTCAGCCTTGTACATAGACTGGCTCTTTTCTAATCTAAAGACATACTGTAAAAACTTACAGAAAAAAATATATTGCATT